CTGCTCAGTTTTCAAACGTCTTCTCGAGAGTTCTTTAGAATATGCTCTGGAACGCCGGAACACTAACCTTCTCGGCCACGCTGCCTCCACATGATAACGGACCTTGGACAGAAGCTGAGCTAATATGTCAATCTAAAAATACTGGACACAGGGCATTTTGCGTACGAGGGAAATTTTCAGTTCCTTCATTGGGATCGAAATCTCAGCAAGCTTTCCTCTCAAGTTGTCTCGCCAAAACGTCTCACAAAAACATTTCAGTTATGGCTATTGCAACAGCCCTTATCAACAGATGGCATTAATTTATCACATATTTGTTACATAATTCTACATGTTTGGAGGCCCAGTGCCACCTTCAGCTTTCCTGGAGCATATAACTGCCGGGACTAACGGCAAAGGGTCCAGTGGAGTTCTTTGTGCAATAAAATTGACATATTAGGTCGTTTTGAGTGAAACTCGACCGTTTCCTCCTTTCACATCTTTCAGTCTTGTTGTTTGTACGCCGGTTTTAGGCCCCAGTTTATGAGATTCAGAGTACGTCGTTCCTCTCGATTGTGTGTGGTAGACGAAGTAGTAAGGAACATAACATTAGAAAGAAAGACACATGTGACAGTTATTGTAAAGCCAATTTTGCAATATTTGTATCGTCTATATTGCGTGTTTTTTTTTTTATTTTGTTCGTCAGAAAATTGCAGCATCCTCACATTGTAAAATTTTATGGCACATCCCTTCTCAAGAGCGCGGAAACCACAAGAGTGATCCTGGTCATGGAAAAGTGCAAAGGAAACTTAAAGAGTCAGATCTTCGATCACCCAGAAGCAACTCCATCAAAAACCAAGAATCTTGCCGTCTTTAGAGAAGTATGTCGATGGGCGAAGGAGATCACTGATGTTCTTGCTTTCATACACAAACGAGGGGTTATCCATAGGGACCTTAAGCTAGAGAACATCTTGGTATGAGGCTGAACTTTGTGTGTTACACCAATTAAAAAAATACTGACCTAAATATTGTTCAAAAGTTTTTGAAAAGGCCTTCGGGTAAAAGAAAAACTATTAGTGTTTTTCTGCCTGTGGGTTTGTAAATTGAATGAAAACTAAAAAAATCTGTTTTTGAGCCTGAAAAGGCATCATGCCAAACTTTGAAACCAAAAATTGGATAATACATTCAATTATGTCTTGTTTCAAGTATAGAGATACACACGCATCTAAACTTGGACACTTTGTCTCAACATAAAAAAAACTGATGTTGGATGTTACTAAAACAAGGAGTGGGGAATGGAGAGTGGGGAGTAGAGTTTCGGGAGTAGGAAGTGGGAAGTGGGGAGTTGAGAGTGGAGACGCCATTCGAATAGATGCTTAAAGTATATTACATGAAACTACAATTTGTAGGAGTCCCTTAGAAAAACCTGTTGATTTGCCACGTACAGTGAAACTGCATATGTTTCCTTTTTACATTCCAGCTATCAGAGGAAAACTCAGTGAAGATAACTGATGTTGGCGTTTCTAAAGACGCAAAGGACATCACGGGTACTTTGGCGGGGACCCCTGTGTACGTTGCACCGGAAGTTTTTCATTCCGAGGTGTATGACAGCAAAGCAGACATATACAGCTTTGGCATAATGCTGTGGGAGATGTGGTATGGGCGGCAGGCATTCGTTGAATTCAGGGGGCCGATGACAGCTTTCTTTAGTTTGGTGGATAAAGGCGACCGTCCGGGAGATGTGGACGGTGGAAAGAAGCCTCCGGCCCGCTGGAAACAATTGATGAACCGGTGCTGGGATGGAAATCCTGACCAACGGCCTTCCGCAGAGATTTGTAATCAAGAAATCACTACACTGTCCCAAGCGATTGTTAGACCGCTCTAAATTAACTTGCTCTCAAAGGTCTGATCCATAGGACGTTCGAGAAGCAGGAAATACACTTTAGGTGATAAGAACTTTAATTTAGATCGTTGTATCATGTCTGATTGAAGGGAATAGGCGAGAATCTTCTCCAGTCAGCCAACTGTCCAGAACGTGTCCAACTTACGTATAGATCTGTTTGGCCCGCAATCAAACATGGCCATCATTGTCCAGTAGACTCTTTTAAGACACGGCAGAGTACTTTACTATTTATCAGGAAGGCATAGGTCCTGGGCAAGTTTTGAACTGCGTTTATACATTGTCTCTCGTTTCGATCTGGGACAATTATTAGTGTGTTTACGAAATCCGAACGGAAAGATATGTTCTTCAGTCTGGTACCACATTTTCCATTGACATAACGGAATTTAACTTGTGTTAGAAATTTATTTTCTTGAGCACATTAATGAGGCAGAAAAAGTCTTACAGACTAACAAAGAGTAATTATGCTAGTAGAGAGCATAGTCGTGTCCCCAACACTGGGACTATGTGGGGATTTCGTCACAATACTATATCTCGGTAAGCGGGGCATTGATCTTATTTGAAACATTATGCATATGGTGGTTCGAGAAGGGACGAAGCAGCGGAGATTACGCCGGGATTAGACAAGGTCGACTGTTTTGACTTAATTATTAACCTGGTAGAATGTTTTTTGCGGCGGAAATTAAAAACCTGAAGGCGTCACGGATGAGCTTATAGCGTCTTGTTGTGATGTAGTTTCTTTTTCCATAGACTTTTGCAAATGACGATGTTTTGGAGTAAATATTTTGGGTCGATAACAGTTAGTTTTGATTATATTTGGGCCTTGGTAGGACTCCATCTACAAGGAAATGTACATATCACCAATAACAATTCGTTTTCTGGAAGAGAACTCATTTAACATTTATTATTAAAACCTGGATCATTGGATAATGCAATTCAAGGGTTTTCATTAGCTTAGCCATCAAAGGTTACGAGCCATTATACCACGCATGCTCTACAAATATGCTAAGCGTACGCTCGTTCCTATTTATATTTATAAGAGACACGAGTGTTTTACTGGAAAATACACCACTCGTAAAATTCGTACGGAGCCACATCCGGGACTCGAGTGACATTCCGGGACTCGAAACATTTGTGGACAAGTTTTTGACAAGTTTTGGACAATCTTCGGAAATCTTCGGAGAGTGATCGGAAATCTTCGGAAAATCGTCAAAAACGCCGTCATCAGTATGTCTATATAATAAAAAGAACATTAAACGTTAGCTCGAAGATTAATTTTATATTCTCGCGGCAAGAACAATATCTCATTCGTTCGCTGCGCTCACTCGTGAGACATTGCTCTTGCCACTCGAGCATAAAATTCATATCTTCTCGCCACCGAGTAATATTCTCAATTTTTTTTTAGTTTAGCTTTTTTAGTTTAATTACTTTGGGGACGTTTTCAATAAAACAGTTGTTCCACTCGCCTTGTTAGATATGAGTTGACTATCTACCATCTCATATCCAACGCGCTCTCGTGGATTAATTGTTAAATATTTCGCCTGCTTCACCACTGATTCCGATATAGGCCTCGGACACAGTGTGCAGAAGCCTTGCACTGGTTAGTAAAAAAAAAAAAGCTGAAGTTGTGCTGACATCAAATCACACAATACATTCTCATGCATGTTTATTGGACTTAACATGTCCGAGATATTTTACAGTTTTGTGATTACAAGCAGCTAAATTTTAAACGCCTTATCCTTTACTTCCATTTTTTTGTAATGTATTGCAAACTACTGCCATCAACTGATTTAGACTATTGAGATACTGAAAGTTTCTTGCCAGTTCTTGCGACCTAGTATTTTATTCAATTTAATTTAATAAATTCCACTGATTTCCCTTTGACAAATACATGTATGTAATTAACTAACTAACTAACTAACTAACTAAAAAGGTGCCTTCACTGGCCGTAAAGGGAGTACTCTGAACGTCGAAATAAATTCCCTTCTACTTCTGCTCACTGCCTTGTGAGCAGAAAGAGAAGGTCATCTCTGTCTCGCAGGATGTATTAGAAGAACATCAGAGATACACATGTATTTGACTTTACGGACCTAGCACATAGAATTAATTATTCGTCACACTAAAGCAAGGATACATCTATTTCAGCATTTATGCTTTGTAAAAGATAAAAACGTGATTTAACCCCAAAGGCCTTGTGTTCACATACAATTTGTCCTTGGTATGCTACATACATTTCCTATATTTGGGTAAAGAGAATCAAACATTTACCCTTGCGATGGATGTTTTTATACTCATGAACCACTTGCTCGATTTAATGTTATCATTGGAAGGAGAAATTATATGCTGAGCACTTGACTCTCTGGGGATCTGATGGTGCAGAGAAAGGAACGAGGAACTTTGAGTTTTCAAACTTCACCTGAAGTTATCATAAACTCGAAACTCAGTCGCAATTGCTTTTATATCTTAAGTCTCTTATAACGATACAAGATATTATTATTGACAGGAACATACGAACAATTCTAATTTGTTATGCGTGCGTAACGTTTTGAAAATTCTCATCTACGTTCGCCTTTTTCCACGGTATCTAATAACCATGATTTGTACGGGATGGTCCTGCGATTTTCTAATTATATTACACCAGACAAAATTATAAAAAAAGGAGAGTCTTACTAAGGCAATTTCTTTTTGTCATCGTTGTTTCATTTTCTTTTAGTCATTGAAGCACAACAAAGCGGATGTCGGGATTTTTTGTAGTGCAAATGTGACTGACTCTCCATGGAGTACAACTTGGTATTAACCGTATTGCTGTCAACCAATCAGAACCGAGTAATTTTGTCTGGTGTACTATAAGTGTCATGACACTTAAGTAGAAAAAAAGATCATTCGATTCTCTCATCATTATTTCGCTACAAGCTAAAACTATTTCGCTGATCATAGAAATTTATGTTCTGCTGTAAGAGTCTCGATGACACTTAAAGCGCCCATAAAACATTCTGACACGAGGCAAATTTAAATTACCGTTAAGGTTGACCCAAATTAATGCTGAGCCCCTACTGAGGCCGGAGCGAAGTACATACCGGTGCCTGGATACAGAGAGTGCGCAAAAGCACAGAAACGGTTAAACTTCTCTTGCACCGGCGGCATTCTCGAGCCCGGAACGTTCGGTGCTCAAAACGGAAATGCTGTGAAACAACACTTAAAAACATGGAAATGCATGTAGAGACTATTAGATTGTCCACGCACGTATTGTGCAAATCTGGACCACGCGATTGGCTATTTCGAGGCTTAGGTAACATATCTGAAACTGAGAGTGATCTAAAAACAACTGTAAGAACAAAACCTCTATGAGGAATTCATGCCATTGCGCTTCCTCCTTTCTTCTTCGTACTAAAAGGCACAGTTGACAAAAAATGATGCGTTACTTGCGTGCGAACTTAATTTGCTGAATTTATTTCGACTCATGAGAATGTTGATGATTAGCCAATGCGTTTACTCTTTCTTAATTGTGTTGCACTGATGCAAAAAGTACAATTACATTGACGCCATATAGCTTAGGGTTTTGTTACGTTCGATAGCTTAGAGGGTGAGAGGGGAGGGAGCGCTTTAGCAAAGTATTCAAGCTTCAGGATTCAAACATCTGAGGTGTGTAAATCATCTAAACTGTTCAATTTAGGTGTCCAGTTTGTGACACAAGTCACCCCAAGATAATGTTTTACATTGCACAAAGTCCGAAAACTTCAATTTAAAAATTTTTTAAAAATACCAGGGTCTCGAATAAAATTCATAAACTCAAAAAAGGTATACAATTTTTCTGCTAAGTGTCATAAACAGAGTACAAAGACGTCTACGCCTGTCAGCAATAATAAAAATACATCTTCAATTAAATGTGCGTTGTATCTAAGAAGACTTATTTCTATGTAATATAAGCGCAGTAAGCACCCTTTACACCTACTTCTTGCCACTTGTTGCTATATCCTCCCCAACCATAATGTAAGAAGAACTCGTTATCGTAGACTGTCTTCCAGTAGCAGTTTTCTTTGGTCCTCTCTCCCCACCACCATCCAGTCTTCGTAGTGTCACACTGACGCTCACTTCTGGACCTTTGCTTGTATTTCGTGGCGACGACCGCATGGCCTCCACCTTCTAGTGTAATGCTCAGAATGACAGGGTAGCCGTATTTTAAGTAATAGACAGCTTTGGATGCAATCCAAGATGAGCCTCCTCGTTGAATGAATCCTCCACTGCTTTTAGTGCTCCGTTTTTTGCGTTTCTCGACATAAGTAGCAACCCTTGATCTGGATCCTTGGCGCGCTCGAAACCACGGCGCAATGTAGTGCATTTTGGAACGTTGAGTGGCGCCTTCACCATTACTACAGAAAGTTTCAACCTCATCTCGTATGTCCTCTACAAAGCGCTTTACGTCATACGTCAGGTATAACGGAGCGACAGTGTACTTATCGCCGTATATTGTTGGACTAAAAAAATCGGGGACGAACCTTGCACGTCTGTCGAAGTATCCAAACACTTGAGCCCAGGCCACAGGACTGCATCCACTCTTACAACCGCAACAATCGTGCTGGTCATAGTCAGGAAAGTTGTATTCAGCCGGAATCGATCCTGTAGTTATGGAGCGTCTGGATCGTTTGGACTGCAAATTTATCGCAAAATGTTTCTTTATCACTTCGTTTTTACGTCCTTTAATTTCCACGACAAATCCGATTTCACGCCACTCTAAGATATTTCCCACCAGTGTCCGGTTACCCCGCACCTCAAGCTTCAGGTATGAGAGATGATTGGGTGTCTCCATTATAGCAATTGGATTTACCTTGGTACTTCCCTCTGGCTTGCACACGTCGACAAGCACCTTACAGAGTCTCTGCTGCCACTCGGATCTTGAACTGTGGTGCATGCGTGAATTACCAATGTTTCTTATATAGACGCCAACAGATCTGAAGCGTTCACCTAGAGCAAGTTTCATAACGGAGCCAGGAAAAAGGGCTTCCTCGTTAATGCCCGTTTTCTTCTTTCCTCCTCCTCTAGGATCCACGTCTGTGGTTGCCCAGTCTGACCGCGACCGCCTCTGTAAAGACCTTTGTCGCCACTGCTGTTTAAAGTCCTTAAGACTTTGATTCACCATCTGATCCAGCTCTCGCCAATCTTTAATCTGTTTCACAAACGAGCCAGAGAGATCAATAAATAAAAAAATGTCGATATTCTATACAATGTTGAAGCTACAAAGGCCAAACTATTTTGAATGTTTGTCTCAGAATGAGATAGGATTGCGGGACTGATTAACGCTCTCTTTTATTCAATTTGGGATTTCCTTTACAAAGAGCTCTTAGACTTTTCCTATACAGTTACACTGCATTTTTTCCTTTTCTGTTTTATTTTCTGGACTTTCTGTTGATAACAAGGCCGCACGCTCTGCTAGTTTTGCTCAGATTAACGACAGCTAATAAATATTATTAATTACTTATATAAAAATCGGGTACACACGTTTATCTGTAACGTCTAATTCAACCCACCTGGGGAGTAGTAGCCGTCCAGTTGTAATTCGCTGCCACAACAGTTCCATTGTCATTCTTACAAACCGTCAATCCCATTGGTGACAAGCGATAAAACTTGGCGCACCGCTGACCATTGTCCTGAGCCTGCTGTATGAGCACATCAGTTGGTCTTGGATCCGGGCCACTCTCCACTTCTCGATAATCTCCAGTTTTTTTACCGGAAGAGAGTACTACGTAGTCACTTCCGATGTCAATTTCGTAGTAGGCTATAAAATCTGGTTCAAGGTCCAGGCGATAGATGGGACGGGTGGGACCCAGGTCATCAGATACGTTCACGCGGGTGAGGTCTGTGAAGTCCTGATCAGTGTCGCTCAGCTCCACTATGGAGTCTAGGACTTCATAAGGCAGCTCCAACGCGGCTAAGCTTGTCACCAGGGCGATGCCGATACTCAATAGGAAGGGGGCTTGTAATGCCCCTGACATTTTATTCAACAGTAACTTTAACCGTATGTCCCTGATGAAACGAAACAAATATATTGCCTAAGTAAGCAGCTTAATAATTATGCCAGTAAAGTAATTATACGTAAACAGGTAAACAAGTAGATAAATGCATTGCCAGAAAAATTGAACCGATATGCGCAGTTGAACCGTGACACTTCAAGCATGCACTATTTTGATCTTCTGATTACAGAAAATATATGGGGAACAGTTTTTGATTGTGTCGTGGTTTCAAACAATTAATGGACCAAATAAACAGACAGACGCAGATAGAAATCAATCAATCAATCCATCCATCCATCCATCCATCCATCCATTCATCCATCCATCCATCCATCAATCAATCAATAAATAGACATAAAAATAAATCAAAATACAGACGAAAGAGGCATTCAAAACAACTAACAAACAACTGTCACTGTAATCATTCTTTCTAAATTGCCGAAAAATATTCGGTCAGTCACGAAAAAATTGGTCATGTTTTTAAACATCTTATACTGTACGTTTCATCTCAGCAAGCGAACAACAAATGCTATCGGTGTATCTCATTGAAATTACACCAAACAATCACTGCCAGGACATTCAATCGAGAAATGATCACAAGAGGAATACTGCGCGCATGATATAAAAACAGGAAGTATTAGAACAAAACTAATTATACTCGGAAGTAAAGAAAGGTCGTTAAGTTGTTCCAAACATCAAATGTTTTTATTCTTTTGTTCTTTCTGAAGGTAAGAAAGACTGCACTGACTACCAGTTAAGTCCACAAGAAATAAACTATTCTGAGACACGAAACTTTAGGAACATGTAGACGCGCGTCTATTCGAGACAAAACTTGAAGAATTTGTCTTGCACAGAGACGCCGTGAAAAGAAGGAAAAATACATGGCGGGTCAAATAACTGGAATTATTGCTGTACGAGTAAGACAGTGCAGTGGAAATGGTTAAGAAAATTATGGTAAAACCCAGACTCCCAAGTTCGACGGGGAAGAGATTCGAATAGGCTTCAGATCGACAAACGAGCTTCCAAATTATCATGTCAGTGTCGCTACTATTTGGACTTTGCCCTGGATTATGAAGTTTTTTTTTATATTTATGAAACTATTATTAACTATAAGTATGGCATTGAAAATATAGAGCCGGAAGATTTAGACAGATCTCTTAAAAAGATAACATGCAGATACCAACTTACCTGAGATCAGCACTGACAAAGGCTAGAAGGCGCCGTTTACTCCCGAATAGGAGCAATCAAACTGATTAAGTTTTGGATCGTCAAGAGCTTTTATATCTTTATATCTCGAACAAACTGTTTAAGTCCTGCTGTTTTCTTTTTCACTTTTCTCACAGAGCAACCGGAAAGTTACAACGATTATGTTACACCGGAATTAGCTTCTTGTTTGAGAAAATATCACGTGGGCATGGCATGACAATGTTTTTTTGCGTCCTCTGGCTTTGTGTCAGCTCATTGCGGCTTAGCGATTCTTACGGTTATTGTACATTAGCTTGGTTATTTCTGTAGTGGTGCTAGATCGCGAGTGAAACACGTAAAATACCGCGTAAAATGACGCGTGGCATTAGGTTTCCATTCAATGATGATTGCAGAGAAAAATAACAAAACAATAAAAACGTAGGACTGCTAAAGGGTGACCGTCTTGATATCTTGCCACACATGGAACTAATTCCGGTGTAATTGAATCGCTTCAACAGCGTCTTCCCGTTGCTCTCTAAGACAACTGACAGAATTACAGGAAGTCTTAACAGTAAAATATTCTTTTTTCAAGGAAAACCTAGCTCTGTTCTTAACTAGGCCTGTGTATGTGCAAACTTCGAATGGCCCAGTAAAGAATCAAGCAGTTAGAGCGATGTCTCAGTCTATGAGGGTCTTGTAAGGTCGTGCAACGCTTCTTGATTTTCTTAGAACTGCCCAACAGAGGTGCATTTGAAATTTAAGAAACCTACTAGGTCTGCTCGTAATTCGGAAGCATGGCGTAGAATGCCTATTGTTCTCGGGACATTTACTTACAGTTCGAAAAAGTGTATAGGTATGTCATGACGCTTATTAATATTCATCGATGCTCCGAACGAGCTGTTTTCATTGGTTGCTATGAATGCGCGACAATACTCATTACCTCATGATGAGGCGGTAAACTAAACAATGAACTCTCCGCCTATTGTTTCTTTCTTTGTTTC